AGGGAATGGATCTTCTGTATCTGTGTAAGTCCAGGCAAAATCTTCTTCAGCACAATAAGATGAAGAAATTAGTCATCACAGATGAATTGACTTTTCCTTCGTGTATATGCAGTGAAAATGCTGGTCTTTTAGCACTAACACGTGTTGGCAGCCGAAGAGTTGTTCAGATATCTGCTGGGTTTATGATTTTCTTTTCAATTCTTGGTAAACCTCCTGCCTAAGCATTTTGTTGAATAGATTGGTTTTTTGGGCTGATATATGATCCCCCTCTCCTCTTTCGCATGTTGCTTTTTTAACTGCGCATTGGTTATCATCAGGGAAATTTGGAGCTGTCTTTGCTTCAATTCCAGCACCCATTGTAGGCGCTTTGTATTGCCTTTTCTTCGCTTATGTAGGTATGTAAATATGCAAGGGAAACATCTGCTTGGATCACTACCAATATCTGGTTCATGTTATGTCAAGTTAGTGATTTCTTTGTTCTCTTTATTGCAGGGGTTGGAGGCTTAAGCTTCCTTCAGTTTTGCAATCTTAATAGTTTCCGTAACAAGTTTATATTGGGTTTCTCTATCTTTCTGGGTTTGTCAGTACCACAGTACTTCAACGAGTACACTGTGATTGCTGGTTATGGACCTGTTCACACACATGGACGATGGGTATGGCAAATTGGCATTAGCTCCTTAATACTTTTTAATATTTTGACTTGCACGCTTGCTCATGTGTTGAGAGGGTTTCTGAAAAAAAGTTGCTTGTGCTTTGTTATTGTTCAGTTCAACGACATGGTCAATGTACCTTTCTCATCAGAAGCTTTTGTTGCTGGTATCTTGGCTTATTTCCTGGACAACACAATGCACAAAAAGGATAATGCGATAAAGAAAGACAGAGGCAAGCCCTGGTGGAACAAGTTCAAGTCCTTCAAGAGCGACACAAGAAGTGAGGAATTCTATTCCCTTCCTTTCAATCTCAACAAGTATTTCCCATCTGTGTGAATTGCGGACATCATATGGAGACAAAAGGGTTCATACACCATAACACGCAAGTCCCTTCTCAATGAAAATCTTTATTGGGGGCCTCACTGCTGCTACACGTATTTTCTTTTATATGTACCCGGTTACATGGAAAAAGAAAGTATAATTAGTCTGACCATTTTGAAGATGCTTAGTGAATTTTTTTATTGTTATTTTTCTGCTGTAAATTGATGGATATGTATGTGGATTTTAGTAGTAATATAGCAAGTCTGGTGCTTTCTACTCTTGTCCTGATTTGTGCAGCAACTAACCAGCCAACAAGCTAGCACATATATCCACTTTCTCCTTCAGCCACCCTATCGTCGTTTTTCGTCTTCCAATTTTCTTTGATTTGTTAGCAGTATAACAGGTCGTATCTATCATGACTTGAGAAGTTTTGCTTCCATTTTAGTTCTGTAACGTACTTGAACTTGACGTTCACTTGTTCTAGTGGACTAAAAGACAGAAGAAGCATTGAATGATGATAATGGACATATCATGAAAACACAAATGTCAATCTGTAATACTGAGATTCTGAGGATTGAACAAACCTTTTATCTGGTCTTCAATGGCAAATATAACCTAGGACCATGTAATTTGCTTAAGTGCCTTAATTTCATCCAGTGTATAAAAGCACACTCAAAATTGTCCTAAATACTGCTTTCTCCGACTAAAACGATATAACTGTTGCTATTTTGATAGGAATTGTTCTTCTCTGAATATGATTATCAAAAAGACTTCTCATATTATAATAATTATACAAAGTTGTTTATAATGTAACTTTAAATATGTTAACCCCATTTCATAAAAGTTTAAAAAGTCGATCTCATAATTCACATTGATAATTGGATGCATTGACTTTTGTACTTTAGAATCTGATTTGTAGGGGTGTTCATAAAAACCCGAAAAATCGAACCAAACCGAAAACAAAATCAAACCGACCAAAAAAACTGATACTATTTGGTTTGGTTTGGTTTTGATTTTGAATTTTAAAAATCGATCAAATTTGGTTTGGTTTTGGTTTTAAATTTTAAAAACCGATCAAATTTGGTTTGGTTTTGATTTTGAATTTTAAAAATCGATCAAATTTGGTTTGGTTTTGGTTTTAATCAGAAAAAAACCGAACCAAACCGACTATAGGAATAGCTATTTCAAATTTATTATTACACCTATATATATGTATATTGTTATACAAAGTTTCAAAAAATTTACGGTAAATGTTAGTAGTTTGCACTTTTAATATAGTTCTTTACCTTTACATTCTAGTTTGATTGGTAGTTTTCTTTTTGTTTAGTGTAAGAATCCCTTTCGTGTTAAAAATAACATATTTTCAATTGAGTCCTTAAATTATTCATCACTATTTGATTCAATTATCATCAATATATTTTGGTAAATAATAGATTTCTCAAAGGGCAATTGATTTGATAGTGTTACATTGAAAATGTGGTCGCCGGAATATGTATTTGGTAGTGTATGTCTTATATTTAAGAAAAAACCGACAAATAACCGGAAAAACCGAAAAACCGACATAAACCGAATCGAGAAAACCCGACTTAATTGGTTTGGTTTGGTTCTAATATTTGAAAAATCGACTTACTTGATTTGGTTTCTTTTCAGGAAAAAACCGATCCAAACCGAACCAGAACACCCCTACTTCAAAGTATGCGATTCCTGCTTAGAGGGAATATATCACTTTTGGCTAAAAAATAAGATAAGGCAAGAATACGGACAGTGATATATTGCAGTTTGATGGGGAAAGTGGGGAGTGATTATAACCTTCAAATCTTAACTCAGCCTATGCCTATACAGAATATATACTGATCTCCTCATCCACTACCATTTGCTCACGCCCAAAGAGACTCTAATAAAAGAGACTTAGCGGTTGCCGTAACCATATCCAGCTAAAGAGTCCTTAGTCAACTTCCACACAAAACTATCATTCAACTATAACTATTTTATATTACTAAGAGAATAAGTTTAACCAAATTTCGAGTTAAAAAATTGTGCTTGTTTTAAACTAAGTGACTAACAACTATTAAAAACAGTAAAACTATCGACTGTAGGGAGTAAAATAATATTCAACAGTAAAAAGCCTAGAATTGTAACCACAATAAACGGGGTGAATGCCTAACGTGTTCATTATAATCTCATTGAGTTATTCTCCACTAATGGTAAGTTCTCTTGTTACCACAATTATCTCTCGATCAAAAATAGTAATTTTCTATAATTATTCCCTCGAACTACCTCTAACTAGCAATTCGAATAACTCACAAAGATCGCGTTAAAGATTCATTATCTCTAATCCACTTTTAAATCCAAGCAATTAATTTCTTAATTACTTAGAAATCATGTTGTTTAATAGTAATTTAATCCTACAACCTCTCTCAAGCAATACAAGATATAATATTATATTTAATCAATGACCATTCAATTAACCACAAGCAAAACGTAGTTAAATAAATAAATTATAAAAATAACTCAATTATAAATAAACACTGCAGATAATTCACCCAACAATTGATCCCATCAAAAACTTAGATGAGAAGTTCAGCTACTTATAATTTCATTCAAAGATAAAATACTAGAATTCATAAACCAACAAGAACGAATGGAAAAAAAAAGAAGAGAAACTCGTAAGCCGAATTCCAATGGTCGTCGCTCCTCGTATGTTTCTTACCTTCAAAGTGGTGTCTCCCCTTCATAAGGACGTTTTATGGTGTTTATATAAGACCTAGGGCATGTTGGAGGTCGCTCTAACCAATCCCAAGTTGGCTAGGAAAACCTGTAGTGCAGGTCTATGACTCATGCGAGGCGAGCCCGGGAAAATATCCACTTCCATGCTTCCAAATGTAGGTCTCGTGATAGGGCTCGCCTTGCTTTCACTTCACTGTTTTGCATGGCTGCTGAAACCTCGTGGAGGTCATGCCTGCTCGTGACGCGAGTCGCAAACAAGGCATACGTTCGACTCTCAACTTCCTTTTTTCTTATTTTCTTTACTCAAACTTGCGCCAAATCATTTATTTTTATTTCTCTTTCATCCAAAATACTTGCTACACACGTAAGACATGTAATTAACTCAAAATACCTCAATAACAATGCAAATCACTACAACTTCGCTCTAGATATGAGGCAAAATATACTAAAAATATGAACTTTTAGCCGAATATCAACTATCATTATTAATTTTTTAGCAGAAAAAGAAATTATGTAGAACACAATACACAAAACGGGCCAAACGGGCCGGTCCTAAAAGCCCACAGTGGGCCGTTCCTCACCAAATAGCCCGTGAGCCCGGGACCGGCAGGCGGGCCTGAGCCGGTTCAACCGGGCCAAACAGGCCCAACGGATATTTTTCAATTTTTTTTTAAAAAAAAGGCCAACGGTTTAAAATTTGAAAAGTAGCCGTTGGCCTGCAATTTTAGCCGTTTGGCATTTTCAAAAATAGTCATTTGGCCCTTAAACTTTGTTTTAACCCCAAACTTTTTATAACTACACTTTTTCCCTCTTCTCAACTATAAATACCTCATCATTCTTTCATTTTTACTCACAAATTCATCAATCTCTCTCTAATTTTATTCTATAATTACTTACTTCATTATTGCAATTTCGTGAAAAATTGTGAAGTTGGTGAATTGAAGTATTCAAGTCTTCAATGATATTCAATTTTCAAGAAGTTGTTCGTCAATTCGGTAAACTCGTTCCAACTCTTAAGTTTTAATATTATAGTTTTGTTTGTTTTAGTTAGTATAATTATAATTAATATGAACTTTTCTTTGAAAAAAATATTTTGTGGTAAGGGTAATGGAAAATCTAAAATTTGTGAATCTAGTCGCCAAGCTAATACTCTCCCCCCGGCTCCCCGACCTAGACCTGTTACCCGTCCTCCTCCACCTGTTATTCTTGATAGTGATAACCTTTGCTTTCAATTTTCCGATAGTCAATTTTGCCATGATCTTACACCAGGTCAACCATTAAATGATGAAATTATGAATGCTCTTTATTCTAATCAAACTATCTTTGAAAATGATGAGGAAAATGATGATTTAGATGAAACGCAACCGGATTTAGATGATACACCTACTAGTCCTATTAATAACCCAACTGATAATAATCCAAATGATGCCCCGCCTGACCCTCTTGTAGTAACCCCTACTTTTAATAGACAACCTTCTAAACGGACCGAAACATCTCTTGTTTGGCACTTTTTTACTTAACTAAGAGAACAAAATAAGGCTAAGTGTAAAACTTGTGGGTTTTTGATGGCTCATAAATATAATGGAGACTGTAGCAGTACGAGTACTTTGACTAGACACATAAAGAAATACCCTAGAGATAAAGCTAGATATTTACAAATGAAAGCTGCACAAGAGGGGACAAGTGTAGATACTACGGTTAACCCTAGTACATGGTCAAATCTAGTTCAACCGAGAATTAACACTATTACTGGTGACATTTTATATTATGATCCAAATAAAGATCGTGAAGAATTGGCAAAAATGATTACTGTTATGTGCTTACCTTATAGTTTTCCTTCTAACCCTCATTTTGTGTGTTATATTAGAAGAGTTTTTAATCCTACTTTATAATGGCCTCGCGCAACCGTAAAGAGCGATAGTTATATCCACCGTCGGTTGAAAATACTGAAAGATAAAAAAGTCGGGTTGGACCGTATGTGTGACATATGGGCCGTATATTAGTCGTATCAGCCGTATATGAAGTGTATATCCACCACAGTAGGCTCTAGGAGTTGACATACGACCAACATACAGACCATATGTCGAAAATGACAGAAACTCTATAAATATGAGAATTTTTGAGATTTCAAATTCTATTTTGTTCTGTCCGACTTTTTGAGGAGAAAGACACCCTAGGGCTTCTCCAAATCATATAATTGAATTGCTAATCAATCCCCATGGATATTTCATCAAATAAACAAGTATTAACGCTAGATTAACATCTATATCCTCATATTATTGAAAATCAATTTAAGATCGTTTGAAGAGAATTTTTTGGGGAATCATCCAGAGGTAAGTCCCTTGATTCCTTGTAGCTTTTATAGAGTGGATTGTGGTTCGTGTGGCCTATAGAAAGATATTAGAATGTTGAATGATTTTGTGAATTGTCAAGAACATGAATTTTAATCTTAAAACCTAGTTTTTCGAAAAGGGTGAGAATTCATGAAATAGGATCAAAGATCTAAACTTTATCATAAGTGATTGTCAAAGCGATTTTTGAACGTTGGAAATC